GCATTAGTGCTTAAGTTAGTAGCTTAAGCTTTTATGTATTTTTGATTTATGTTTTATTCCACTACTTTTACAGTTATTATACCATGGAGTAAATGAAAATGTGGTTTTGATGCATCTTTTAGATGTTTAGAGATACCTCTACGTTAAGAACATCATAGCTTAGAAATTCCAGGGTACTATGTGATTGACAGGAGATGCTCACTGGAAGAGGGAAGCAGAAATGTATTTCAGATCTGTAATGCGTTGTTGGTGGATGAACTTCAAACTCTGGGGTTTTTCTGTTTCAGCTCTCTTTAAGCTGGAGCAGTGCATCTCAGAAAGCAGCTACACAGTGTAGATGTTGGGAATTACAAATGTCAGAGAAGAAATCTGTTAGCAGTCAGTTTTAATGAAGAAATAGCTTTCAGTATGCTAACACAAAGTTGGTGCTTGGTTAAACTGCCAGGAGGAGCAAACGCCTAAAATGAAGAGTGTTCATTTGCAACAGTAAAAGTCTAAATTTGCCATTTTAGCACCAATGACGTGAGGGAACACTTAAGGTTTTTAGTGAGGATTTAGCTACATCTTTGTTTATGGTGGTTTTTCTCCTTTCCTACGCAAATGTTTAAGCCTGCCTTCGTTTTGCAAATGCATGTGAAGCTGCTTGTCCTGATGGCGGACTCCCTTATTTGCTGTTCCTGTACGCCAGGTTGAATGTGTAATGGAGAAGCAGGCAGCATGTTGAGCTTGTGCCTCTGGTGTGTTTGGAAGACAGTCGGAGCACGAGGGATTTAGTCTCCCACGGCAGCTGGCTTATGGAAGTAGGGCTTTATCGCTCTTTTCTTGCAAAATCAGTAGGGTTATACTCAGCTGCCCTAGTGCGTTTCCTAAAAGTTTTGAAATTGGTAAGATGAGACAAGCAAAAGTTACGTCATGGAGAGCCATACTAGAAGATATTTTTCACTCCGGTCATCTGAGTTGAAAACTTCTCCCTTTGCGAAATTATTCTGATTTCCTTTCCTTCCCCCTCCATTATATGGTCAGCAGTAGCATTATACTTAAAGCAGCATGGTCGAAAAGAATTACAGAAGGAAATTAACTGGGTGTGAGTTAGGTTTCCCCGACAAAGAGTTTAGGAAGGATTAGTGAAGATGGAAGTTACATACTGAGCTTTACGTGGGTTACGTCTGTAAATGTCATTTGCGCTTTTGGAAATCTTCAAATGACAAGGTGTGTTTGTGCTGTGGCAAGTGGTGTTTTGTGGTAGTCTGTGGCGTGAGCAGAATGTAAAGCATGGCTGGAATTTGGATTTGTGGTAGGACTTTAGGCATGGCGGGAAGCCAGAAACATGGTTTTTCTGTAGTTGGTAAGTGCTTTTGAGGAAATGTTGAGGACAGTGGTGAACTTACATTTTTAGGAGTTATGCTCTGTGGTTTTTCTATCCCTTCGCTGTTGCCCATATTAGTTTCTTCTGTATGTTGACAGAGTTTATACTGGTCAGCGAGAGTGATGCAGAACTTGCAATGAACGTTGCCTCTTGAAATCAGATTGTTCGTTATTATTACCATAATTGTGTGTCTTGGCTCATTTCAAGTCTTTTGATTTCAGAGCTTCGTTTTTCACACAGCGTGTCTCCTTCATGTGGACTCATTGTTACTGGAATAATACAGGCGTTGTGTTCTCTGGCTGTACAGAATCAAATATTTTTTCCTTTTTGTCTGCAAAAACATGCAGATGCCGTGTTGGGTTGGGCAACATGAGAACCGGCCAGTGCTCCAGCTTGCGCTAGTAAGGCTTTTATGATTTTGTACAGCTCTGATCATTATTAGCATAGTAACGTTTGTCTTCATTTTTTCCTGTAATAAATCATCTGCTGAATCTTTTCACTTCAGCAAAGTCATCTTTGAACGTCACTAAAATGGCAATCCAAAATTACTATATAAGGAAGAGTGTGGCTTCTAAAACTAGCTTTATGCATTTAAATCTAGAGAGCATAATTGATGATTGTCTGAAATAACTGGCAACGTCTCTATTCAAAAATCCTGACAAAGTAACCATTTTCTTTAGAAAAGCAGTCTGCTATTTCTGAGAGACTGCTTATCAGATCCCATTACGCAAAGGGAACTGTAGGACGTACTGGTCTCTTTCTTTAGAGCATGGGAGAATCTTTGTTTATTTTTTTTAAATAAAAAAGTACAACTGGTTCATCACCAGAGCTGCTATTTCTTGATTTTGTACATCTGTTGGAACTGGCAAAAATGCTGTAATACGCATTCTTTCCTCTCCAGAGAAAGGGAGGAGGGGAAGGCTTGTAGTCATAGGCTTGGCTGTGGTACTGTGTTTACTTCCTACTGTTTTTTATTTCATATTTTCTTTTAAAAGGAAAAAAACCCACCTTCTTGCCTGAAATGAGTGCTTTGATTGCCGTTCATGTTGTTCATGGACTCTCCTGGCTTGGGGAGAATGGCACTTTCTGCTGTCCTGTTAGTATTTGTGTGAACATACAAATGTTAGTAAGTATGTAGTTATAATAATGCTTTCAAGGTTGTTCTTGCGCTTCTGGACATATAAACTTAATTTATCATCAGCTGTATACTATAGGACTTGTGTATCTGTAGTATATTTCAGATGCCATGTACCACCTGCCTGTATCTACGATATAACAACATGCCAAGATCCTAGAGAGAAGGATATTCCCTTCTGTCATCATTGTTTAGCAGTTTTTTCAGTTTCACCTTTTTTCTTTAGATAAAGGAACATTTTAGTTCATTTAATGAGAAACAGCGGCTGTAAAACTATTAAATTTGTTTTGAGAACAGAAGCAGGTAGAGCATCCAAGATTCCTTTTGACTAGATTTTAGGCTGAAAATGTTCCCTTAGGAGGGAAGGAAGAGTATGTTATGTTCTTGAAATACGCTTTATTTTAGACCCTGGGAATAAAATAAAATTTTTTGGATAGTGTTCCACAGAGGTAAGATTTTTCCTTTATTAGGAAAAAAAGAAGAAGAAGAAAAAATAATAATTCAGCATTTGAAAAAATGGAATATGGTGGCTTTTAAATTTTCACTTAAGAAACAAACAAACAAAAAAGTCTAGTGGCCCAAAACATAAGACCTCTTTTTAGAAAAAACAGGAGATGTGAGGAGTGTTTTTGTTGATGTTCTTTTTTCTTTTTTTCCTTTAAATTCTTACACTTGAGGAAGGTAGTATTCTCGTGGGGTACTGGATGGTAGTATAAATTGAGTAGTGTTGACTTGGATACCTGCTTGTACGTATATGATATCAAGCTACAGTAGTCTGAAGAGGGCTCAGGAGTGGGTTTGCTGCACGCGTTTCTCTGGCGAGCTGGGCAGCCCGGGGGCTATTTCTGTGTTTCCTCTTTGGAGAGGGATTCCTGTTGCCGCTGCTGGTCAGCCTTCCTCTGAAACTTCCTCATCTTGACCCAGTCATCTCCGTGAGCCTGTCCTGGAGACGTACAGCACGTGGCTGTTTTTCAGCCGGTCGCTAGCTGGTGTGCAGACTGCCTGGGCTCAGTCAGTGTTGGTTTTTCACCTCCCTTTGTCTTCTCCATACCAGGATGTATAAATTGGAAGTTATATTTTTGTATCGTCGTCATCAGTGGCCCTCTACATTCCTTTGTTTTGACCTTTTGACTTATTTTTAGTATCCAGTTTCTGATTTTTATCATCCTATGGTAAAATCATAGAAACCCAGTGCATCCCTTTCTGGGAGGTAAGTTGGGAAACACTGAGGAAAGAAATGGTGCCACCAGTAGTTGCACCCAGGTATGCAACACTGATGTTGCATAAGAAATGCCTTCTCATTCTTCTATTACAGAAGCAGTTCACTGGGAGTTAGAAAAATTCCTCTTGTACAATCAAGCTTCCAAGAAGTGGGAATATTTGCATGTTTGGGGGAACTTAGTGGTTTTGGTTAGAGGTGATCTGCCACTTCTTGCAGCAGTCTCCTCTGTTGGAGGAAAATAGGAAAACACCTTTCTCTCTCTTCTCTGGGAACCAGTCAGTTAAGCAACAGGGAACAGAAGGAAATCCTTGCCATCATCTTGTACACAGGGAATAATTGAAGCTTGATATGTGATGGGAATCTGGGTTTTGGGGCTGTTTTCTTTTTTTAATAAAAATCTGTATGATGAAAAATTCAAATGTCATCACATTGACTCTAGTCTCTGCTTGAATTGCAATATGGAAGTTCAAGGGCAAGACAGTGTTGCCTGTCACTCACTCTGCAGCTCTGCATCCTGAAATATTCAGGTGCCTTACATTATAAATATGCATCTGCATACTTCTCTGAGAACCCTTAGGTTTTGAGAATATCTTGAGTTGTTTAGCCACAGTGACTTAATTTCTGCTGCCAGTCTAAAAGGATTCAAAAGACACAAAAATCTTTCATGTCTTTTCATTAACTATACTGGGTTTGTACGTGACCTTATTGCGTGTGTGGGAAATGTAGGGTAGAGAAAACAGAAAAGTTTCCAATGCTGTAAGCCTGTTACTATGCGTTATAGAAGAACTTGTTACACATTTACTTAGTTGTCACCTTGGGTTATGCTGATTTCCACACATGCGTGCACACGCACACATACACCACCCCCCTTAGGGAGCAGGGGAGTGGAGATGCTGTTCTCGGCACTGTTACACTTAAGTGTAACAAAGGTATTCCTTGACCACAGGGAGATTTCAGGCTTGTTCAGATGAGAAGGATGTAAAGGACAGAAAAGGCTGACAGAATGAAGTGTTGGGTCAGATGGTGAGGAGGAGGTGGTAGTAACATGAATAACAGGTCATTAGAGTGCTGTGATCTTTCAGAACCAAAAGTGATGGATGTGATTCTAATTTTTTTTTTCATCTTTCCTCCTAATGTAGGGAATTCCTCTGAAGAATTTGCTGGAAGCGGATACGTGTGAATTTTCTGCATGAAGACTCTCAAACTGGATTACATAATAATATGCCTGTATCCTCTGACTCTATTATTTTGATCTTTAAAAATGATTAGCATTGTATATGAAATTTAACCCATTTCTGATGAGTGACCTAGACATGAGTTTACATCGGCAAATGGGCTCTGATCGGGACCTCCAGTCTTCTGCTTCCTCTGTGAGCTTGCCGTCAGTTAAAAAGGCACCAAAGAAAAGAAGAATTTCATTGGGCTCTCTTTTTCGGAGAAAAAAAGACACAAAACGCAAGTCTAGGGATTTAAATGGAGGTGTTGATGGAATTGCAAGTATTGAAAGTATTCATTCAGAAATGTGTACAGACAAGAACTCTATTTTCTCCACGTGTACCTCTTCTGATAACGGAACAACCTCTAGCAGCAAACCAAGCGGAGACTTCATGGAATGCCCCTTATGCCTTTTGCGGCACTCCAAGGACAGGTTCCCGGAGATAATGACTTGTCACCATAGATCTTGTGTGGATTGCTTGCGTCAGTATCTCCGGATAGAAATCTCTGAGAGCAGAGTTAATATTAGCTGTCCAGAATGCTCAGAACGATTTAATCCTCATGATATTCGTTTGATATTAAATGATGACATCTTGATGGAAAAATACGAAGAGTTTATGCTTAGGCGATGGCTGGTTGCAGATCCTGATTGTAGGTGGTGCCCAGCTCCAGATTGTGGGTATGTATTTTTTTCCCATTGTCTGCAAAAAAGTAACAGCATGAACAGGTAATGTTCATACCATTCGGCTTTTTGAAAAGTTAATTGCTTTACTTTAGCATTTTGTTATGCATTGTACAAGTAGGTAGCAGGCAGAATTCCCTTTTAAAAAAAAAACAAAAAAAAAAACAAACAAAACACCAAAAACAAACAAAGAAAAAACAATAAAAAAAAGCCCAAGCCACAACTCGTCTTCCAAAATAAAACCCTTCCTTAAGTAGTATATTTTTTTTTTCTGCAGAGGGAATTTCAGCAATGTCACAAAACTTATTGGCAGGTGGTTGCTATGTATCTACAGCAGGCAAAAAAAACTTAGATGTTGCACTGCCAAGGCAACAGTGCAAAGCTCAGACTAAAGAGAATTGAAAATTTGATGACTGTACTTTTAAATTAGTCCATTTGTTAAAGCACAGTGGGTATTTTGGTTTTTTTAACTGTGAAAAATGATTGGAGGTTTTCTTTCAATAAAAAGGCCTCTCCAGCTTCAGATATCTTCCATCTTGTGGCTGGTTGACACACCACTTGTTGCCTGTCAACAGGATTCTGATGTAAGATAATAATCAACTTGTTCCTGTTTATTATCTGACGAACATAATGTTTTAACATTGCTTTAAGACTTAAACAGTTCTGAAACCTTTCTGAATTCTGACATGAGTGGGCTGAATACTACTGAGCAGCTCATCATCACACTTTGCTGATGGTGTCTCATAATGCCATTCTTCAGCAAGTTGCTTTTTTAGAGATTGTTTGCGTTATCATCATGTCTAAAGGTTATAGCCATGACTGCGATCTGCATGTGCAGTGCATGCTAAAAACTCATAAAGATGATATCTCTGTTTCAAAGCTTCACAGATGAGCAATAAGTAGAAAGAAGAAAAGGAATAATGTTGGAAGAGAACAAGCAAAATAAGACTGTTAGGTAGATTATATATTCCAATATTAATGTTCAGGTGCTTAATGTTTAGGAGGCTTTCAAATTCAAATGATATGTTAAGAAGCATATTTGAAATAGAATTTTGCTTTCATACTTTAAATGAAACAGAATTTGCTAATGCGGGTCAAAAGCAGGGACTGGAAAGGTGATAGTTCCTTAGGTCCTCTGGTCAAAAGTGGATGGCTTTGCTGTGGTGTAGTTTGAGCAGAGAAGGAAAAATGACTTGAGAGAGGGATTGGTTGCATGAGCTTATAACAAAGTCATGTGGACAAAACCAGTAGGGCTTGCTCTTAATATTTCAATACTGCAAAAGAAAACAGCCACTAGAAGGCATTATTTTATAGGCAGAAGTATGCTTTGCTCAAGTTCCCCTGAGGTTTCGTGTTCACAACAAACTTGCTACTCAAGGTAAGGGGAAGCATGTAAAAACAGTTAAACCATTTTCTGTTAAACCATGTCTCAGTGATTCACGTACTTTTTTAGTACTTCAGTAAATAGGCTAAGGCAGATTTGTTTAATGGAGACTTTTCACCTTGGTTATTTTTGTTCCTCAGTTTTCTCATCTGTCTTAAAAAAACCCTAAGTATCTTTAAATGGTCAGAAACTGTAATGATAATTGCTATAGATAATACCATTATAAAAATAAAAAGTGGGTCTTCAGAGCGAAGTTAAAGTTCCATGCAATTGTGTGGGACCACAGCAATGTATTAGTCTATAGCAAATATTTAAATCACTGCTCCAGAACTGCCTACTGCATGCTCCTTACTCTGAGGGTGGAATCCTGTGGAAAAAACAGCGTATTGCCAGGCAGCTAAACTATGCCAGTGTTTGTGTGAGGGGAACAAACTACTACTATATGGGCAACCTTAACTCTACCTTTGATAACACAGCTTTTTCCTTAATATTTCATGTGGTAGGGAAATGCTTCACAGTGATAGATGGATTCTGTTTTTAATGTACAGATAGTACCACCTCACTGAATTCACATGACTAGTTTAAAATCGGATGAAGTCGGATACTTCTCAGCAGGATCATTCTTTATGGCTGTCATCCTAAAGAAACAAGAGCTCGCGTGATGATGTTTTGTCTTTTTCCCATCCTTCTCCTGATCACTTTTGAAACCTGTAGCACCTTCAAATATGTTGGGCAGAGGGGGTTGAGCGTTCAGCCTAAGTTAATCTAAGACATTTCAGGGAAAAAAACCATAATACTTGAGCAAAAGAGAGACCACCAATAATGCCTTCAGGAAGAGAAATACCTGCATATGAATCCTACAGTTACCTTCTTAAATTTGGCCTTCCAGGCAGCCACCACAGCATGGTCTGGCAGGTTGGTGTGTGCCGGCACAGGTCTCTCACCTCGCTGTTAGCCGGGGAGCTGGGAGAAAGCACCCAGAGGGAGGTGGGAAGGAGAAGCGGGAGCAGTATAGAAAGTAATAATGGGGATTTAATGTTGTTGTGGAGCATAGAAGCAGGATGGAGGAAGCAATTGTACAGGCATGAGGTTTAGGGAAGCAAACACTATTCAGACTTTCACTGAACAGCCTATGCTAGCAAACATTGTAAAGGTGAGGTATCACATACAGGGTGCAGAAACTTCAGACCAGCAGACATTTGCTTTAACAATTACGTGGTACAACAGTAGTCGCAGTTTCTAATTGCTTTGGCAACTGTAATCAACTTGTACAATATGCAATTAGAACTGAGGGCTTTTTTTTTTTCTGAACAGTTTTTGACATGTAGTTCTGGCAGAATACATTAGAGTTGTGATGGTAGCTGACCTGATTTTAGAATGGATCAAATATTTCATGAAGGAGCTGGATGGAATGCATTTACTAAATTTACAATTAATCCCAAAGTAGGAGATGTGCAATAACTTCAGAAAGTAGCATTATTTCCTAAAGTTGTCTATAAAATTAGAAATAAGTACTGTAATAAATAGGAAATAGGTGCAAAGTAGAGCATTTTGATAGGAAAAATTTACTGCACAGATAGGTAAAAGAAAGAACGGAGTGGACGGTGCATGACAGTGCTTCAACTCTCCTCAACATTGATGAAACAACCCATGTAATGTTGTTTCAGGGTTTGGGCATCACACTAGAACAAAGACCAGATGAAGAGCAAGTAATCATAAAAATTTTGATCCCTGAGGGGAAAAAAATGAGGAAGGAAAAAAAGGAGGGAAGTCTGTTATATTTTTTTTTTTCTCCCTATCTCATGGGCCCCTATGTTCTCAGGAAACAACAAAGAATAGTTAAGAAGGAAATATCTCTTTTTCAGCTGTCTTTCACTCTGTTTGGGGTAAAAACAGGTCCTAGAGATGGCAAAACTGGAACCAAACAGATCTTGAAACAAAGTCAGCTACAGTATTAAGTGTATTACTACTTCTCCTGTCCCAGTGGAGAACTTCTTCTGATCTTCCCAACAAGAGAACTACCAATGAGTTTGCAGGAGAGCCCCTGTTGCAATAGTTAAGCCCTGGACGAGCTGCCTGGGAGCTGTGGGGTCTCTAGCACTAAAGCCGTCTAAGGCCAGAAATGGTCCCTACCGCTGGCACCACCGTCTTTCTGACCTGGGGCTACTTCATCCTCGGCTCTTGTTGCAAGCTCAAAGGCATCCTCACCGTTGTTACCTAAATACGGTAAAAGTCTGGACCAGCTACAACTTACCTGCAGTGGCTTGACAGAGGACACTGGCAAAGAGGTGATCTTTTTCTGGGGAAGGAGCATGGATAAGGAAAGCTCTTCGGCTCTGTTCCAGGCAAATTTTTTGAGATTCTGTTCATATCAGTTTTCCGATGTCATTTTAACAAACCTCAGTGAATCAGTATTCCAAATGTGTTCTGTCTTTTTTTCTGCCTGAATTATTTAATGGTTTTGCTCTGAGATTGTATTGCTGCTGGTATTAGAAGAGAGCAGTGATTCCTAGATTTTATCTTTGTCAAGCAAAAAGCAGATTGGGCAAAAGAGTACAAATTCTTCATTCCTCTTCTCACTGTACATCCTTTCTTCAATTAATTGCTCTTTGCCTCTGGTTTTTTGTTTTACTCGTTATTACCTTGAATTTGGTTGTTTGTCCCTTCTCTCAGCCTAACTAGAACTTTTGGCTTTCACATCGCCTGTGAAATGAATGCAAAACGTTGAAATTAAACCTCTAATCTTGTACAGTTTGAGCTGAGATTTGCTCTGGTCTAAAAAGTTACTTTCTAAAGGTATGCCAATACATCAGTCCCAAATGGGGAGTGCTTTCAGGGATGCGCCCATTCTTTATTAGCCATGGGAGGCAGGATATAACTTGATACTTCGTTCTGTGGCCTACGCTTAAGATTCTTTGATATAACATTAGTGAGTCCTGGATGTATCCCTGTATGTTGAAGAAGCATTTGGATCAGAGTCTCTTTGTGTACATACAAGCCAATTATCTCTTCAGTTGCTGCAAGTGGGAAAATAGAGCTGATTAACTTGGCAGTAATATAGAAGAGTCTAGCAATTATTGAAACCAATTTTTACTTGGAAAGTAAGAAATATTTGAAAACAGACAAGCATATATCTCATTTTTATTTGTAACTGCATCATCTGTAAATTAAAGGTTGAAAACTCCTATTTGTTTGCAGAACTTTTTTGGGGGGGAACCTCAAACATGCTGTTTTAAAACAATGAAAGGGATAGGACTTGCATTAACTTTACAGAGCTTCAGATGTAGCTACTCTACAATGAAAAGAGCTAGATTTTCAGATATGTGAATGGGAATAATTTTTTTAATATCATTACTGATAAAGGATATTGAGTTAATTTTATGCAACTGCTATAAATTGGACAGGGGGCAAAAATAAGCAAGTTAGTCTTTTAAAATAAAATTACCTTCACTTGAACAGCCATAAATTTAAGCCCTGCTCCATTTATAAATCTGTTGAAGTCTATTCAGGGGGACTGTTCACATGAATAAAACTTCTGTTTTAGGTGTTCATACCAGTGGACCTAATATTGTTTTCTATTTAAACAAAAGCTACTGCATAAAATCATTGAAAGAAATACAATGGGTAGGAATTAAGGCGCATGTGTGTATATGTGTATATGTATTTATATTTAATATGAACTACAATATGCATTGTCTGTATTTTTATCATGTGAACTTTAAAATGCAAACCTGATAGAGGAATTGATTTGTGGAAACAACTCTGTATAGAATTGTTCATGTTGTGTCTGATTACAAAATAGTGTAACACAGTTTTGTAAGTCTCAACATTTTTGGAGCTTTTTGCTCTGTAGTATTGTCAGAGTAAAGGTGGCATTGAGGCTCTGAACCCTTATCAATTTCTGCATTTACAGTTTGAAATGTATTAAAAAAAAATGTGAAAAGAAATTGTCTTAATTGAGAAACCACAATCCTTATTTATAAAATACTTGCTTTGTTGTTTTGACATTTTAAAATATAAAAAGTAAACAGACATCTATTTAAAGTGGATAGTGATAGTCATGATAAAAGGCAGCCAGTAAAATACTAAAATGTCATGCAGTAGCAACTCAGATGCCTTTACAGTAATAGACTGCACTATGGATCACTTAGCAGGGATCCTCCCAGATTACAGAAAGGGTCACACTTAGACATGCCCATAGTGACTGGAACACTTGAAACTATAACTTTTTCTAGTTGCTTACATACCTTTTTTTGGTTTTATTGTCCCGCTTTTCTAAACTGTGGTTGCTTTGTGACTGTAAACCTTACAGTACTGCATTCAGCCTTAAATACAGTATATTTCAGTACTGCATGAAGTTATTAGTGTGAGGTAGAGCAAAGTGTTACACTGATTGTAGTATTTCTGTACAGTCTTAGTCTAATGCAATAGTGATAGAGTTGTGGAAGGAGGTGGTAAGGAACCTGCGCTGGGCACCTGATGTCCACTGCCTTTGTACCTGCTTCAGCTGCTCTGGCAGCTGTCTCGTCTGCTTCTGTCTATAGATAGGACTGGTTTTATTAACAAAATTCTCTCTTGCCCCTCTTGATCATTCAAGATATGCTGTGATCGCTTTCGGATGTGCCAGCTGCCCCAAACTTACATGTGGACGAGAAGGCTGTGGAACTGAGTTTTGCTACCACTGTAAGCAGATTTGGCATCCAAACCAGACCTGTGATGCTGCTCGCCAGGAGAGAGCTCAAAGTCTGCGCCTGAGAACCATCCGTTCTTCATCTATTAGTTACAGCCAGGAATCTGGAGCAGCAGGTATTTATGATTAGGATACTGTGTGTCTGTAAAATATCTTTTTAGTGCATTTGCACAATTAACTCTAAAAAGGAAAGAACTGAATAGTAGCACGGTAGATACTAGTTGCTTTGTCTTTCAGAAATGTAAAATACACAATTTTAAGTTTGAATTCGAATTTTAAATGTTATAATTTGAAGTACTTTATGACCACAGCACCTGACTTCAATCTTACAGGCTTGTCAGAATTTTAAATTCTTCCTTTGTAGCTGAAAAATGTGAAGTCAAAGGAACTCTCTAAAGCGTGCTCTGTGTTTGGCAGGTTGACTTCAGTAGCTGTATAACTTACACACTGGGAACACTTAGTTTCTCCCCTGTAGGTGAAATTTCACAGGACTGCTAATAATAAAAGCTGTTAAAAATAAAATTCAAACCCACTGATTGTCTGCTTTCAAAAGAGACTATTAGTCTGATGCTGGCTCTGATGTTTGACATCTGTTTGTTAGTACTAATTTCTGTTCTTCAATAAAATGCTCATCTGTCTTGGCTACCAGAAAGCTAACAATTCCATCTTCTTAAAATTGAACCTGTTTGTAACCCCCGAAAAAAGAGGATAGACTATTCAGAGTAGTATTTTGCAGAGCAAGAGTCCAATTTGCTGTTGATAAGAATTGGCTCTGAGTTTCACCAAACTCTGATATATTTGGCAGCTTCTGTGTCTGCCTGACCAAACAAGGTAGATACTTGGGGAGAAGAGTTTCTCTTGCACCTTGAATGTAGTTAGCACTGTCGTTCTCCAGTCCAGCCCTAGACTTGAGTCTCTTATTTGTGCTGGGTCATTTTAACTAGGCACTCCATCTTGTCTTAAAAATTGTCATCTTGCTCTAGTTTTCAAATAAATTTTAAAATAAACTTTGAATAAATTATCCTGGCAGCTCCTTTCCTTGCCCTCTCAGTCACTCCCAGCATGAACAGCAGTAGCTCTGCCGTACCCGTGCTGTATGAACTTGCTCAGTTTAGTTACTGCCCCGTAGGCTGTGCATCTGTTCCCATCTGGGAATAGCTACTGCATCCTTTCAGCTGCTCGCTGTCCTTTTGCACTGGAGTTGGGAGAGGTACTGTTTCTGCTGGTTCTGCACCTATTTGGATATTCTTTATATCGAGTATAACCCCTCTTTTCCTTTTGTCCTACCTAGTAGCACAGAGGCAGTAAACTTAAACTTCTGCACTAGGAGCTGCAAGTTATGGCTGCTGCTGTGAATAAATAGCTTGTCCCAAAGTGCAGATGCTACCCAGTAATGTGAAGGAATGAAGATCACGACTGTGGTTGTGTCAGCGTACACGTATTTCACTGTTGCTCAATGACCCCTTGTTTGTTAATGATAGAGCTAGTCACTTAACAGCGTTCTTCAATATTTGACTTGGGAACAAGGAGACCCTCCAGAATTTCCTTTTTGCTACAATATTTTTTTTCTAGGGAGTAAGTAAGTATTAAGTAGGGCTGTGAAAAGGACTCAAGAGGAGGTTGGTGATAGCAAAGAAATGCACTTAATATGGAAGGGGAGATGGATTTGAGGTAAGAAGAAGAAATAAGAGCGGAGGCTGAATATTCGACTAAAAGATTCATAACAGCATGAAGTGTAAAAGGGGATTATATTTAAAGAGACCATATTATCAGTCCTGTATTAACATACCTATTTAATGTCCCACTCTAATATATATTGTATTAAGCTTAGAAAATCTTTGAACAGAGTGTATGCATTAACTATTCAATTACTTGAATGTGATCTAATACACCTTATTTTCATTAGTTTTACTTGGTCCAAGGTTTACAAATGCAAATAGCTATCAAGTCATTGCCAAATCAAGATTTGTAAAGCAAACTTATAATAAACTTCTTCCATTTTTCAGATAATGGTTCGGTCAGTTTTATCGAACATATGTCTATGTTTTGATTAAATCTGCTTGTCTAAAGAACTGATATGATCTTAATATTCATTTTTAAACAGCTGATGACATAAAGCCATGCCCACGCTGTGCTGCTTATATAATAAAAATGAATGATGGAAGCTGCAATCATATGACTTGTGCTGTCTGTGGCTGTGAATTCTGTTGGCTATGTATGAAAGAGATCTCAGATTTACATTATTTAAGGTATGTTTAAGAAAAGATCTATGTGGTTGGTAATTTGTTTTCTAAAGTATATAGAAGTAGATTCCTGGGTGCTCTAATTAGGTCTGGCTTTCTTCCTATTGGAGTAGAGAATCACAGTTGAAGTATCCATATCTGAGTATTAAGTTAGTTTTCAATGCATGTATTTAAATTAATGCTTTGTTATTTCTTACTTTAAAATATTTTTCTAAGTTTCATGCATGCAATGTGTACTTAGTACAACAAATGAAGTGTTTTAGATGAGCATACCCACTCTTTTTACTAATGTATTAATACTGCTGTATTGTCTTCGTAGTAAGCAATGCAAAAACTCTGATTATATAAGTTACCCATGAACCACAGATTGGCATGTGGTAATATGCAATATGCATCTCTTTACATGGCAAAATATGCTGTAAAGGAAAAAAAAAAGGAAAAAAAAACCAAAAAACAAACACCAAACTGAAGAAATTATAACTGTTGATTTGGTACCCATAACATCTGTAACTTGGATCTAAGAACAATAATTTTGTACTAGAGAACAGTTCAGTAGTGTATAGTTATGTTGATTTATTTACAATTTCTTTACAGTTTTCTTACTTCTTTCTATTAGCCCATCAGGTTGCACATTTTGGGGAAAGAAACCATGGAGCCGTAAGAAGAAAATACTGTGGCAACTAGGGACACTTGTTGGAGCTCCTGTAGGAATTGCCTTAATAGCTGGCATTGCTATTCCTGCTATGATTATTGGAATTCCTGTGTATGTGGGACGTAAGGTAAAATGTGCTACAACTCCTAACATGCTTCAGGTTTTACCTTCTGCATTGTATGACTTGGGTAAATATATGTTCAGTTGGCTACCTTCACCAGCCTTTAAAAAAACACAAAGCAAAAAAACTAAACAACCCCCAAAAAACCAAACAACTAACCCCTGAATTGTTTAAGGATATTTGTTTCAATTGTACAGGAAGGAGAAGCAGTGTTTTTAAGAATGTAGTTCCTCTTAAAACACTGAACAACTTCCAATTTCTGCATCTTGCCATGGAAGTTCTTGCATGGTTTTTCAAAATTGCTCTGTTTTTAATCCCTTGTTTCCTTTAGAATTAAACAATATTTAGAGGAGAAGGAAGGCAAAAGGGAAATCCTTCTTATTTTTCTTAAGAGCAGATAGTTACCAGTCTTTTAATATAATATTCTGCTAGTATAGGTTTGTGCATGAACACATGTAAGCATTTATACTCAGCAGCTTGTTAATCGCCTTGGGCCAGTCCACCACGCAGAGCGGTGTTCAGTGCAGGTAGCTAGACAGCATCTGTCTTCACTTCACTGTTTGTGGGAACCAGCTAGAAATTACCATGTTAATCAGAAGGCAGTTGATGTATTTCCTCTCAAAAATACAATAGCTTTTAGTATAAAGTAAATGACAAATCGCAAGGAAAACAAAAGTTAATTACATCTCCTATTTGTAATTTAGGGTAAACTAGTAAGTTATCCAAATCTTTTGGAAATGGGCTTTTTGAAATGATGGCTTGGTTCAGTAGGTGCTAAGTGTTCAGTTACGTGTACTGGATGGCATAATCAGAAGATTTGTTTTTCTGCTTTTATCAGGGTCAGCAGGTGCTAAGTGTTCAGTTACGTGTACTGGATGGCATAATCAGAAGATTTGTTTTTCTGCTTTTATCAGCATGGATTCTCACAGTGACTGGCACAGACACATAATTCTACATTTAGGGGGGGGGGGGGGGGGGGAAGTGTTTCTCTCTCACATAAGCTGTTGCTGCTAGACAAGAAGTCCAGGGATGCAGCTTTTCCACTGTATTTTTTCATCTTTTTCTTTCAAGCAAGTACTCCTACCTTCTGCTACAGTTGTTTTTTGGCTCTTCTATTCTGTTCTTAGTCCCAGTCATTGGAAGCTTATAAATGATAAGAGGAAGAAGGCAGCAGTTATCTGTTTCATATTCCTATTGTGTGTTCTGCTTTTCTCATTAGATTTTGGGATAGGTCCCCATCACTAAGCGCCTTTCACGTATTAATGGTAAAGTCTCAGAGAGTTAGTCTGTGAGGGCAGCCTCATGAGAATTTCCATTGTACCCCACTACTTAATGGTCATTTTTCTGTGACTCCTGTCACATGTTTGCACTTTTCTCCAAAACATGTGATGATGGAGATTCCACAGGCTCTCCAAGCCTAATTTTCTTAGTAAAATAGATTTTTCAAACATAAATGTAAATTCTCTTCCTACACTAAATTCTTACTGCCCTATCTTCAGCTGACATAAAGTATCCTTTTGCTTTGCAATATCCCATTACATATTTGATGCTTTTTAAGTCCGCTTTCATTCTTATCTCTAAACAAACACTTCCAGTTTTTCTTGACAAACTGTCAAGAAAACAGACAGTTTTAGACTTCTGATGCTCATCTTCTCTTCTGGATTTCCTTCCAGTTGTTCATTGCTTCCTTCCAGCGTTTGTTTTTGTCCAGTTTGAATATAGCAGTGAAGCTGAAACATTACTACTGCTGAGTTAAATGAAAGGGTGATCCTGTGCATATAACTACCAGTTATCTCTCTCTCAACAACATGCTATTTTCATTTTGCGTACTCTAAAACACATACCCTTCCCCACTGTACTGGTAATTTAGGCAATTGGTCCCTTCCTACGGGTAGTCTTGAACTCATTACTATTGTGCTGCATCTTAGTCATTTCAGGCCATTTTTTTCAACTTCTCAAGACTAGTATGAGTTCTGATATTCTTGTAACCTTGCCAGATTGTATTGGCCTGAAATTCAACACACACATGCTTCTCTTTCCATCTTCCAGCTTAATGAAAATGTTGAATACTCTTGGATCCAGGGCATATCTCTTGAAAAAGTATAGGGTGAAGAGTTGCAGTTCGGGGAGTAAAAAAAACTAATGACAACTCGGATGTTTTCTGTCTGTTTTACATGAAATTAGTAGTAGTTTTCTCTAGTTCATTTTTCAGTCTGGACCATTACAACCTCTTGAGTGTCATGCAAGAAAATGTCAAAATTTTGTTCAAGTTGGCGCGTGACATCTGTTTTTCTCCATCCTCAAGGCTAGCTTGTCACAGAAGAAAATCAAATTGATGTGATTTCTACTTGAAAAAAATCAGTGTGGCCTCTATTTCCTGCATTTGCTTTGGTGTCTACAAGTTCCCAGTTTTCAGTTCACTAGTCTTTAATTCCCCAGCTTCTTGTTTTACACCTTTTTAAATATTATCATTGCAGTTTAACTTTTTCCAGTTTTCCTGATTTTTTTTTTTTCCTCCCAGACATCTATGAATACTAATTTTTGAAAATTATTATTAGGAGCTCTGAAATGGGGTCTGTGGAGATATTTTTCAGATCAGGTCATATAACTCCACTCTAACCTGCTGTTTTCCTACAGATCTTACTCCTTTGTCACCAGTTACCTCGCTCACAGTTGATCTTTAGTGACAACTGAAGGGAAAAAAATTGAACAGGCCTTCGGTTTAATCCGCTGGCTGTCTTTCCTTTTTGTTAAATAACAAATTGATCCATTTTGGTCTTCCTCTTACTAGCAGTGTACTTCTAGAATAATTTCTTGTTGACTTTGATGTCCCTTGCTTTTTGTCTCCTCTATTTTAACCTTTCTGATTTTGTTCTGACACCTTCATGCTGTTCCTTTATACCCATTCACAGTAATCTGACCTACTTTCTATTTTCTTAATGCTGCTGCTGCTTCAGTAAAGGAAGCTTCACTGTTCTTTTACAACATTCTGTCTGTCTTCTGCATTGGAAGGGTTTGTGCTTGTGCTTTGATAGTTTCCTTAAGGAAGTGCTAGTCCTCCCTTTTATAGATATAAGTCTTGTAACCTGCCAGTTTTCTGCATTTATGGAAATCCCTCTCCTTCTGGCCCAGTGTTTTTGTTTTGGATATTCCTTATTCTTTACTCAATATTTGGAAGTCTCTTATTTCATAGTCATTCCTACCAATGTAACCTTCTATCTTCATGTTTTCAATCAGTTTCTCCTCTGTAACCACTCCCTTTCGTTCCTTTTTGTTGCTTTATGTTTAAGGAATCCAGTAGTCTTTATAGGTATCTTTGTTTGTTGTATGCTTTTTGTTTCGGTACTTAAAATTGGCCATAATAGTAAAATTCGATGCCTGGGGTGATTCTGCTAATTGCTTACAGAGCCCCATGAAACCTGATCTTCCTGGGTTTGTAATTCTTAGAGGCTCGTACTGTGAGAGTGTTCCTGTTCAATTTTTCCTTTTTAATCCATAGGTATGTTCCACATTCAGGTGCTCCCTCACTCCATGTTGCTCTTTGTATAATGCACCTCAGAGCAAGTAAATGCATTCTCGTTATACAAAGTTCAGTGTCTTCTCTGCCCTTTCCTTGACTGTCTTGCCTGAACAAATCCAAATACTTTGAAGTTTATTCCAAAATCAGAACTACCCTACCAAATCTCTAATTGAAACTACAATTTAGAAAGCACAGCATTTAATAAAACTTCCAGTTCATTTTTGTCGTTCTTTTTGCAGTAGCAAATTGATACAAAAATACTGTGATTATCCTCTTAGTACCCTCTTTTGTGTTCCTCCTTAGATGTAGTGAGGATTAACTTAGCCTCATGACAACCATTAAAATCGCGACCTATTGTTCCTTTGTAATTATGTCTTAACCAGGAATGATGACAGATGAAGTGCGTGTCCCTGAAAAGCCATGTTCCTAGAGAGTAAATGAAGCACACAAAACGTAGGAAATATCTGTAAAACAGTGATCTTTGAAGGCCTTTCAGGTTCATGTAGGATTTGTAGCAGATAAGTTTGAGGCAGTCCCATTGCAGAGTTATTACAGACTTGAACCATCAGTAAGGGTTTTGGTTAGCAGATTCCTCGGTAACTAAGACTCAGGTTTGCTAAAATATTTCCCGTCTCAACAGCTTGTCACGAGAGGGTGCCAGAGCAATGGAGTTCTTGCTCTCCCCGCTCCCAGCATACGTTTGGTGAAGGCTGCCTTACTACACGATTTTCCTGGCTCTGTTTCCATAATCTGTGAAAGTTTCACTCCATTTTGTTCAGAGGAAACATGGCTGGGAATAAGTGTCAATTTGATCAGATGTGGTGATTCTTTGATCCTGAAAATTGTCTACTTTTCCTAACTATGTAAGCTGGAGTAATGATTGAACAAACAAGCAAAAAAAAAAGCTGTTCGGTGATGTAGCTCTTCTAACTTGAGGGTGAAAGTAAATGCTTAGTTGCTGGATGGGAGGTCTTCTAACTTTTAAGAAGTTGCCTAAAATTAAGAAATATATAAATTTTCTTTTCTTTTGAGATAAGGAATAAATGATGACATAGCACGTGGCCTCTCTGGAAGAGAGCAGGGTACAGATTCCAAACTATTATATGTCAGTTCTTCCATCCTTGCAGCAATGTATTATTGATGACGATAATACTCTAAAAACCCTTTCTTCTTTTCTTCTCTCAAGATTCACAATCGATATGAAGGCAAAGACATTTCAAAGCACAAACGAAACTTGGCTATAGCAGGTGGTGTAACCTTATCTGTAATTGTTTCTCCAGTTGTAGCTGCGGTAACTGTAGGTAAGCAAACACTACTATTTTGTGTATTGGTAGCACCTTGCAACCAGAACTCTATAAGCACTCATCAATGAAACAGCTGAGATAAGTCCTATAGTTCCTTTTATAGGTGAAGGAACTGAGACAATGAGTCTGAGGTTATACGTTTATTGGGGCAGAATGGAGAATACAGTACTTAAGGAAACACGGCATTAAAATGAAGAATTAAAAGTAGTTTTTATCTTGCAAATTGAAGTTTCCACATTGTCATACCTGGCTTTTAAAACTGAAGTATTTAAAGCTTTTTTTAAACGACTGACCAAGAAAAAACTGTTGCCACAGAGTCTATTCATATTTGAATAACTTCATATCAAACTTTTCTCAACACAGAATAAAAATAGTCTCTTACACTTAACATGAGTCGTTGACAAACTATTTGTTATGCTCTCGGAGTCAGTTTGAATTCTATCACATTGTTTCTCATAAGCATTTTTGAGGATAGCATTTGAGGAAAATCTGGCTGTACATTACAAAATACTTGTCATCTTACCATGTAATTTCAAGATCACTGTAAACAAAATCTGATTGTTTTTTTTTTTGAAAGGAGTGGACTTGTCCAGCACTGCCTTGCTTCTCCTTTGTTGCAGCACAAGCATCTTTACAGTTGCACAGTAAGCTGCCACGGATAACTGATTCACGTTAAGACCCACCACTTAGTTTTAAGCCGGATCAGACCCCTGATTCATCACACAGTTGTGTGTGCGGTGTTCCCCCCTTGTGCCAGAAGTAATGCTCAGAGAGGAATGAGTGGCCTCGAGAAGACAGGGCCACTTTTAGCAAGTGATGGTTTAAATTGGCCGTGAAGCTGTGGCTCTGAACTGCTTGTTAACAGTGGTGGACCACTGTGCAAACGCAAATATTGTAGTCGTAAAACTGTCTTGTCTGCATTGCATTGTTCTCATGTAGTTGTGGTGTCAGATCCCCGCTAAACAGGTAGTAGGACACAGAGTCTCATAGATGTATTTATAAGTCTGCTTTACCTCATTCTTTCGAGCTGTTTATTCCTGACCAGAGATAAAACTTGGTTCTTTAGGGAAAGCTATTGTGTTTTATTTTGTGGAGTTTTTGTGCTTGCCCTGTTGCCATTAGCACGTGGCCTTCAGTCTCAGGGCATTATATGGCTTCCAGAATAATGACCTTGAGAATATGGATTTCCTTCTTGAATGCTGAGGAATTTCCAGTGAAAGGGACTTTTTGTAACTGGAACAATTCTTTTAGTTTAGACGGAGGAGCCTTTGCATTGGGTCTGCCTCTGTCCTGGCTTTTTCAGAATGTGCCAGCTTGTCATTTTTCAGTCTGCCATTTTTCTGTACCTTCTGTGTACTTCCATCTGCAAAGCCATAGAATGGTTTAATTCATATGCCAAAGGAGTAACTTTCACAGACCACTAGAAGTGGTGGGATGGATGTATGTGTATATCTGCATACACTTTAGCCCACAGTTCCTTTCACTGGTTTCCCTTAACTCCTGCCACTCTGCTCCACAGAATTGTTTACTTTTAAGGAAAACTTGTATAATTAAAATTTTTAAATTGAATCAGCATGATACAATAAATATGAAAGATCCCACAGGAATAACAATGTTAAGTCCTATTAAATTGATAGGAAAGCCCTGTCTGACTTCAGTAGATGCAAAATCAAGCCCCTTATTAAATTAGTAGAGGTAGTAACATTTTTAGTTGAATAACATTTGAAATAGATCTCTGCTATTTCTGCTTCTCAGGTGGAACATTATTACAGTCCCCAGTGGAGCTTATATGACCCTTTAAAGTATTTTCATTTTGTTTGTAAAAGATGTTATGGACGTACTGGAAGTATTAATTCATCAAGCATTAAGCTTCTGTGCCTACCAATCTGATACAGGACATTCTGCCTGATGAAAGTATTTTCCTGTCATTTCACCATAGTGATTTACCAATACTTCTTAATTTTGGTCCCTCCTGATTTCTTTCAAGTGTGAAATATTAAGTAATCATGGAAAATGAAATAGCTTTTATGAAAGGTTCTAAAATATAAGTCACACTTAATGAAAGACTGTACTTTCCTCTGTAGGTATTGGTGTTCCTATTATGCTGGCTTACGTGTATGGAGTTGTTCCAATTTCCCTCTGCCGAAGTGGAGGCTGTGGTGTGTCAGCAGGCAATGGAAAAGGTGTCAGGATAGAATTTGATGATGAAAATGATATAAATGTTGGTGGAACAAATGCAGCTGTAGGTAAGAAAATTCCATGTTTCATTTTCTAGAATTTTGGGCTTTGTGACTTATATTTGATGGCCTTAGATACTAGAGTACTTATTTGCAGGAGAGGTACTGTACAGTTAGCACTGCCTCCACTCGCTGCTGAAAGACCAGCTCTCAGATGAGGATAGCTCCTCTGTGTTCATGTTGTGCTGTGCTGTAATACAAGCATTAAAGCTTTTCTTGCCCATTTGAATCAAAGCCAGACTCAAGTAAAGTCTTTTCCATAGGTAAAAGTTTTAAGATAAAATTTATGCTGCTTTTTCAGAACAGTGGTTTGTGGAAGTTTGCTGGCTTTCATCTTTTTATCTATAATAGGGGGAACTAAATGCTGATCTGGTGCTACTTTTATTTTAATTACGTGAAAGTATTCTTTATGACAGGGTCTCTCTCTTTTCCTTGACTCCAAGTTACCTGTCCTATCAACGGTTAACTTTTTGGTATCTTAAGTATGTGATGTCAGGCATAACCATTATAGCAACTTCAAGTAAGGTCTCTTTTATTCTTTTTTTTTTTTTTTTTTTTGACAGAGTTATCTTTTTGTCACAGTATGTTTTATGGATCCTTTTTCTGAGCATAATTTTTGGAACTGTTTCCATGGTCACATTCTAGAAACTACTAAGTTCTACTTTCATAACTGACAAGCCTTCTTTATTTCTGTCTAGATACCACTTCAGTAGCAGAGGCACGTCATAACCCTAGCATAGGCGAAGGGAGCGTTGGAGGACTGACTGGCAGCTTGAGTGCAAGTGGTAGCCACATGGATAGAATAGGAGCCATTCGAGACAACCTAAGTGAAACCGCGAGTACCATGGCCCTGGCTGGGGCTAGTATAACAGGGAGTCTCTCAGGAAGTGCAATGGTTAACTGCTTTAACAGGTAAGAGATGTGCTTTCTACTGTACAGTATCCTGCTCTACATGTAAGCAGAGGAAGTGGTATTACTAGGTTTTTTGATTTTTATTTTTTAATTGGTTCCTATTAAAAGGAACTGTCTCTGGGAGACAGAGATAGTTCATCTCTGACAAACTTGCTGATTTCCAAGAGATCCTGCCAGACCACAATCCTCAAAGAAGAGTTTGAATTTTTTTCAGGGTGAGCGGGGCCTGAGATCTTGTTCTCCTGCTTTCCAGGAGAGCAGCCTCTACCCAGGAGTCAGAGGGAGGCACTTCATGTCTAACACAATCGAGTTCTCCGGTGCATCTCACCCCAAAGTCAGAACTGCTGACTTGTTCAGTAGTGTACAAGTACTAAGCTGTGCCTTCAGAAGACCTGGCTGGAGTGTGGATTCAAAATGGACTTGGGCAGGAGGGGAGGCAGCTGGGCACCTGGCCTTACCGAGGTGGCACCTTCTTGCCACTTATGTGCTCAGTGCCTCCTGTGAATTGGGGCCTTACTGTTTGTCGTCTGTCCCACACCCTGAAGGGAAAGGCAGTGTCTGGAAAGGATTGTTAATGTTTAGGGCTCAGGATGGAATTTGCTCTTTAAATCGGGTGCTAACACTGCTCTTTTTCTTGAGTAATTTGGAAGTCCAGTCTATATAGAATAAGGAGGGCAGGATAGGATCGAGTTTCCTTATGTGTTTCAGGCTGTGACTGCTGAGTGAGGTATATCTATTCCTTTCTTTAAAGAACTGAGAGTGGAAAACAAAACAAAAAAACTCTTCCAGTTCACTGTCAGAACATAGATAAACAAGGCATTTGGAAAAAAGCTTATAATTTGATTTCTGGTTTATCTGCTCGGCCCAACTTAAGATTGCTCAGGTTTCTATTATTCCTGTTGCAGTTGATAACAGTATAATATAAAGCAGAGTACAGAAGACAGTTCTCTGCCTGTTATTTGATTAGTAACAATTTTGCAGCTGAAGAAACGGGAACTATGATGTCTTGAACTTATGTATCCTTCTGATTGTTTTTTCCATTTTTAGAGTACAGTACACTATCTGCAAAAGAATTGTAGTGAAGCCTGGAAATTGTTCTTGTAAATCTCAGGGAGGAAAGAATCCAGAACCTCTGCTTAACATGCAACATTTTGCTTTGTTGAGAAATTGATCTGGTTTTGCTTTGGGGTGTGTTTGGTTTGGTTTGGTTTTTTAATCAGAAAATAGTCATTTTTGACAGTGGGAAGAGAGGTAGGGTAAATATGCGCAGCTGTACTGGAGTAACTAATAAACTCTACTGAATGGTGGAGAAACTCTTCAAGGTGACACTAATTTTCAACTAGTGTGCTTTAACTGTAGCAGCAGTATATGTAACTCTTTTTTTTTTTTTCTTTCTCTCCAAGACTGGAAGTACAAGCAGATGTGCAGAAAGAACGATACAGTCTGAGTGGAGAATCTGGCACAGTTAGCTTGGGAACAGTTAGTGATAATGCCAGTACCAAAGCAATGGCAGGATCCATTCTGAACTCCTACATCCCTTTGGACAGGTAAGAGAAATGCGGTGAAAACAGAAGATCAATAAGCCTTGCTTATTAAAGGATATTCTAAGCATGCCTCAGCTGTTCTACTTTAAAGATTACCCTTTGAAACTGCCAATATTGTTACAAATTGAATTACACGTGACTGCTTATATTTGCCAAGGTTATTTCCAAAGAGGAACGCCATTGCTGTAACTCAGTAAAGTGTTTGATCTTTCACACTTTGTGTTTTTCTTCGGGCTGTTTATTTGGTTAAACACTTTTCTGAAACAAGTTGCATCTCTCTAGTGTTCTTTTGCTATGTATCTTGGAAAGCAGTAAGTGTTCTGCTGTGTTAGCTGGCTTGTCTTTCATGACGTCTTACGCTCACGGATTCTTTCTTGTTCTAGGGAAGGTAACAGTATGGAAGTGCAAGTGGATATTGAATCAAAGCCAGCCAAATTCAGACACAACAGCGGAAGCAGTAGTGTTGATGATGGCAGTGCTGCAGGTCGTAGTAATGCCGGTTGTTCATCGGCCTGCTTGCCAGAAAGTAAATCTAGTGCCACCAAGTGGTCCAAAGAAACAACAGCAGGAAAAAAATGTAAAGGTAAGCTGAGAAAGAAGAGTAGCATGAAGATAAATGAGACAAGAGAGGACATGGATGCTCAGCTGTTGGAACAACAAAGCACAAACTCCAGTGAATTTGACTCTCCCTCTCTTAGCGATAGTATTCCATCTGTAGCGGATTCTCACTCGAGTCATTTTTCTGAGTTCAGTTGCTCAGATATGGAAAGTATGAAAACTTCCTGTAGCCATGGTTCCAGCGACTATCATACTCGCTTTACCACAGTCAGCGTTCTCCCAGAGGTGGAAAATGATCGCTTGGAAAACTCTCCGCAGCCAAGTGGAATGCCTGCGCCTGTTCCAACAGCCCCAAGCACTGATGTTCCACAGCTGAGTTACATTGCTGAGGAAAGCATTAATAACGGATCTTTGAAAGATGTAGATTTAGGTGTTGGTGAAACACTGAAAGAAACAAACAACAACCATTCACAACATGCTGTCGAATTAAGCACTGCTATTCAGACTGAAATTTAAGCCTATAAGTGCTGCAAATATATATTTACCACTAAAGAACCCTGTCTGAAAGCTGGTTCAATTACATGCGACTTCCGTAAGTTTCAGGTGACCAGCAGAAGCAAGGTTTTGATACAACTGCATTTTATATATACTTGTCTGATAAGGCAGAACACTTCATATGGATCTCAGACCTGTGTGAAGAGACGGGAAGGCTTTAACCAAGTGCATTACAGCAGTACAAATACGTCCATGTTTTGTATTTTTGCCACAACTTTGCTTGAAAGCATATACTTGGTGTATTTAGATAAAAACTGGTAAATTCTTAATATGTTAAACGCTGAAATGAATAATATGTCCTGCACTGTTCACTTGGAAAATATGGGGTTTGGGATAAATGGGTGTTAGCTGAGCGTTAGTGACTTAAAACCATTCTTGTGTGAACTCTGTTTAAGGGAAGCAAAAGTTTTGCAGAGACCTATACAAACGTATTTCAAACAGTGAATATTCGTAATGATAATTTTGTTTCATAACTGGACACACTGTATTTAGAATGCATGTAGAATGAACCGCATATCTTCAGATGGATGTAGCCTGTGTCAGAAGTGTTTGTATGTGTGTACACTTTGAGCAAGGTTATGGCATTTTACATAGTTTTGAAACAGAAGAAATTGGTACTTAATATATGGTGGAATGGAGACGTCGCCTCTGAAGAACAGTGGGGTTACCTATTTATTCATGCAACCAACCATGCAGCAGATAAGACTTCTATATAGTGTATAAAAACTGTAAAATAACAATCCAGTGATTTATAAACATTGTAGAAAAGCAGATGCAGTTACCTTTCATTAGGGGGGAAAACGGTGTCCCATCAATTCTTGGTGCCTTTGGAAAAGACTGGGTTTGAAGTGCCTGGTCGTTTGAGGATTTTACTGTAATGTTTTCCAGAATGTCCTCTTTGGCCACCTTCGATCACAAAAGGAAATTCTAGTGAATAAAATGACTGTGGTAGATAAATGTATAATAATAATACTGAAGTATTAGCCTACCAAAGACTCACTCAGGCTTTAGTGGACATGACATCTCTTTGCAAGACATGCATATCTTCAGTCCCAGAATCAAAGTGCAGTGCAATGATGCCCAAGTGCAAAGATGGGTTCCAAATATGCTGGCTTTTTTCTTTTCCTTTTGCATATGGAAGATGTACAGCTGAACACAAGCTGAAGTTGGCCAAAGCGCCTGCACTGTTAACATTTTTTTTTTTTGCTATGTAATTCACTAAAATGAAAAAAAAAAAAAAAAATTGTGAATATCAGAATAACAGTTAACAATGTTCTGTCTTGTGTTTCATGTATTGCCATTATGGTGCTACTGGAAGTTTGGTTGGATAAAAAGAAAATGCCATCAGCTGCAGTCCTCTTCCATGACTTAGCCTCACCGGTTTCAGTAATATGCTTATAACACTAGTGCCAGTTATGTTATTTGATAATGCTTGTTACAGTATTTGTATATTTGCAATTCAGTTTTGCTCAATAATATGCGTGTAAACTGCCTATCTGAAATAAATGTCTAAATACTGACTTCTAGTGGTCCTTTGTTTAGTGTGCTGATTAGCCGTATAAAAACATGTATGTTCCCAGAAGGTGCTTTTTTTTTTTCTGTAAGGTGCTGGCTGCTGTTACCTCTTGTTGCCTTTTAAACACTTTCATTTTGTTAGGTGTGCTTTGGAAATTGAACGTTCCGATACTTAGAAATACAAGATCTAAAGTTAGTTGCATTTTGCACAAGACTTGAACCTGATGTCTTTTCATGTTAAAGAATAACAAGCGGAGCTGCCTCTGTGGCAGGCAGGACAGTAAATGGTTTTCTGAGAGGACGCGGCTCTGGCATAAGCATATTACTCTTTAAACAAAATTGCACCAGCTTGGTACAAGTGGACAGGCTATGGTCAGGTTGCTGAGCTAAACTCAAACTCTTCTTTCTCCATTTAAAGTGATGCTTTTCTCGACTCACAGTGTTTGTATGAAGTTCATTCTGAAACACTGCAGGCTGGCCAGAGTTTCTGGGTAACAACTGGTATTTTTTGCTTGGCTGAACTGCCTATTTATTAGGCTCATTTTCTCACCTGCATCCTGACAGGCTTGAGAAGTAAGAAACTAAAACTGATTGGGATGCGTTACAGAAGGCATAGCTGGATCTGCCTCATCCCAGACCTGTATGTAAGGTGTATTTATATCGGAGTGAATAACAAGAGGATAACTGTTACGCTGGGTCAACTCTAAAGCTACAATTAGAGCATTATTTATACCATTTCCAATGGCATATGCTCAAAGAGAGAATAAGAAATAGGACGAGTGAAACATAGTGTACCCTAGAAATGGTAGCAAGGCATACAGGCAATTTTTGGCATGCCACCAGGCAGTCTGAATTGGAAGCGAATGCAAATTTTGTATTTTGTAGGGAGGTTAGTGCTAACAGTTCCTTTTTGTGCTTTGTTCCTGATTGATTTTTTTTTTTTCTTTTTTCCCCCCCAGTCTGAATACTTTTAAACAATACACTGTTACTGAAGAGTAAATGTATTGAATTAGGATCAGCATTAACGGAAAGAAGCATTTGCTGTTCATCATCGTACAACACCAGTTTGTGAATTCTGCTGTAATTTTTCAGGCCTGTGTAGAAATGCCTGCGTTAGTCATGAACTGAAGTGTTAACCGATTCTTCAGGCAGAGGCTGGAGATCGAAGTGGAGTAAAACGTGTCTCAGTGAGCCAGTCGTGCTTCCGTGTCACCGCACGTGCGGTCCAACTGCGCAATGTTCTTCAAGGCCGCCTATTTCTAAACCTCTGAGTAAGTTAAACTTCTGTGCAGTCTCATACGACCACCTTCAATTAGTCATCTTAATGCAGACGTTATTTGCTCCATGTCCCAGCAGAAGGTGAACCTCTCCTTTGCCTCTTATTCTGTTCACTTTTGAATGTGATGTCTCATGCGATAGCAATAAAGTTATTGCTGATGTCTCAGGCTTTGAAAATGTGTGATTTGGCTTTATCCAGTACACCTGCGACATGACTAAAGCGCATCAATTTGTAGCAGTGCAATTCAGTGCTAACGGCAGAGAATTGGGAGGTGGAAGACCTATTTCTGTGAATTTAAACCTAACTCTTCATTTCTCAGGGCCTCAGTTTTGCTGTGCAAGAAATTGGAAATATGGGTTACTCTTGTAAGTAAACTTTTATCAAATGATAGTGGTATTTTCAGTCACTCTGAAATCATCTTTGATAATTTTATATTCTACATTGAGGTAACTAATGTTGAAATATAGGTAATTTTTTTTTCTGTTCACTTTTGGATAAGATTTTAGGAGAAAACTTGCTGATTCATTTTGTAACTTTTTATTCAAAGGTAATATTTCATATGTAAGGCAGTATAAAAAGCACTCATAAATTTAGTGCAGCATTGAATTTTGTTTTGAGTCTATAAAAAAGTATAAGATACAACACTTCCATCAATACGCTAATACAGAAGATATATGTACATCTACCAGTATAAGAATTCAACAAAGCAAAGTTTTTCTTTCACTGAAAGAAACCACAGGAAAGATCAAGTTTACGTCTGGTGTCCCAACACGGCGGTGGTTCTTCAGAAATTTTCTTCATGGTTCCTGGCCGGTTTGACTACTTTGTCAGATTGTGAATCTCAAGAGGAAATTAATTTTAACATCTGCTATATCAGAGAATACTTGAGATAGTTACAAATTTAAATAGATAAAAACTGTCATAAAAGCTTTCATCATGATGTTTGAATAAGCTTTTTTGTAGTAAAGCATCTGGACTTGTACATCCTTTCATTGAACCAATGTCTCAGACTTCTGCAGGTATGAGCTGATTACTTTTTACTGATGTGTAAACATTTTTTTACTGACTTATATCTCTTCCAGTCATTTTGATATGCAAATCCAAATTCATTTTTAAATAGTTGCCTACTCCGTAATGCCATCGCTCTCATGGTCAATAATGCTATATAAGGATAACCAAGCAGATGGCTGAAAAATATTAACTGCAGTTAATGAACTTAAAAATAATTTCCTGATAAAAGTTCACTTGATTTAGGTGTTTAGGGGAGAGATTTTAGTTGCCTCACTGAAAAACAAACAAAAAAACCCAAACCCAAAATATCAGGTCATATGGTATGAAATTGTCTAGTTAAAATTTATTCAGTTATATTTAAGCTAAATCATACCAGGAAGGGGGCAAAAAGGGTACTGAGCTGAAAATAAGGAAGGTAAAAAAATACCCTGTCCTGTGTAGGTGCTTGGAGGGGGAAGTTTGGATTTTTGGTCCCCATGGCGCAGCCGTGCCGTGGCGGTGTCAGTGGCATTTGGAGCTGGGAACTTGTCTGAGCCGCATCCCGGGGATGGCACGATGCCCCCGTCCGTTGCCCTCGGTGGCTGACAGCTCGGCACAGGGCGGGCTGGGATTCTTCACCCTCATCATGAGCGGTGTTCCCCAGGGCTCAGTGTTGGGGCCGGTCCTGTTCAACATCTTCACTGATGATCTGGATGAGGGGATCGAGTGCACCCTCAGTAAGTTTGCAGATGACCCCAAGTTGGGTGGAAGTGTTGATCTGCTGGAGGGCCCTGCAGAGGGACCTGGACAGGCTGGACCGATGGGCTGGGGCCAACTGCATGAGGTTCAACAAGGCTCAGTGCTGGGTCCTGCACTTGGGTCACAACAACCCCAGGCAACGCTACAGGCTGGGGGAGGAGTGGCTGGAGAGCTGCCCAGCAGAAAAGGACCTGGGGGTGTTGGTTGACAGCCGCC